AAACAAACAGTTTTTGCATAAGTTTTTATGCTTCAATGGGGGGATTTTTCTTTTACATAGAAATTTTGCTTTATGTTTTTGCAAAACTGCAAGGAAAACCTTTTTTTCCGCACCTCACGAGACATGCGATCTCCAACAGGACTTTCCTGCCTTGTAAAAGAAGAGGACCATAATTAGCTGGAGGATGATGGTGCAGTATATTTTATTTATTAAGAGCCCGGGTATATTTATCAATTTAGTTTTCTAAGATCAGCCTTGGCTGTATTATGGATATATCATGTTCTCTTCTGCCACTGCCAAGTTGTTTCAAGAGTTATTGTGTGAACAATGAATAGCTTTGTGCTGTAATGGAAACCAAACTTTAGTTTTCAAACAGCTAATAAGAAAATTATATTGTGAACATTGTTCTTCAGCAGAGATTTATTTATTCCCAACTTGGGTTGACTTCCTCAAGCTTCTGTTGTTAAGACAAACCCAGAATCAAAAATGGAAAGAGGATGTGAGCGTGAAAGAAGCTGACTGTGCAGAATGTTTTTTACAGGATGAGTAAATATTAAAACCACAGATGAGTTTAATCTGCTGAGGAGATTAAATAATTTGTAGAAGCGATACTGGTGTCCATGAAGAGATTGGGTCCATTGCCTGGAAACGCAGTCAGAGTTTCAGAGAACCAACGGGAAGTTCGCTTTAAAACAGAACAAGATGCTAATTTGGAGGGAGAATGTTTTATGATCACGTCTATTTTTTAATGCTTTATCATCAGTTTTTAATCACGCAGAGTTTTTACCAACTCTACTTTGCACTTCTCTGTCTGCAGATAAATTTAACAATGGCTGCAGAATCACTGCAGTAAACAGATCCTCTGATGGCAGACCTAAAACTTTAATACTTCCTACACTGAAAAATAAAATATGAAGTCATTTAGTGAAAAACATTAAACATTTTATTTCATATTTACATACAAAATTTCCATGGCAACTCAAATGAAACTGTTTTAGAGGAAAAAAGGGTACCATTGAAGTGGCTTAAACACAAATAATAAAAAATAAATAGAAATAGATAGTGGTAAAAATAAAAGATAATATTTTAATGTTTTTAATTTTTTCCCCACATTATTGAAGCATAAGAACTTAAGTCTGCTT